ATGTGCTGCATTTGGGTTTGACCACCTGTGACTGGGTTCTTCAGTGCCATCCTTCAGAGGGATTCGCCACCAGTGTTCAGAAACACAAAGAGCAGTGCCTCTACTTTCCAGGTCCCACTTTGGCGCTTTCCAAGTCTTACCCAGCTGAGGCAGTGCCAAAAGTGTGAGAGATTATAAAATTTCTGAAGGCTGCTGCTGTTAGGAGGGTCTGCTCATGAATGGATCTTTCCTGGAGAGAGTAATTTGGAAACTAGGATGTGTCCCTGTCTTATGCAGTAGCTCTCCAAACAAATTCTCTTGGGTGAGACCAACTTCCTTCTGGTTTCTTGTAAAAAAATCTACATCCCTGAACAAAGCAGATTGTTACCTCGGGTATTTTTTGTACTGCATCAGGCTATTTGGGGAGCTGTCGATCGTGCTTTGCTGAGTCAGAGGGAAGAGCTGCCAGCTGATAATTGGGATGTGAAGGATCTTTCACAGCCATTGCCTCCCAAGGTCACTCTGGTACTGAAAATAGGTTCTCAGCAGCATGGTTTTGCTTTAGTTACAAATGTTAAAGCTTGAAGAATGCAAGCCTTGTCTTTTTGTGTAGAAATCTCTGTGGGAGGAAAGGCTGTGACAAGCTAGGGTCAAGTAACATCTGCAAGTGTGTATTATCTGCTTGACTCCGTCAGATAGCGCAATGAACGTGGCTGGTGTTTGGATTGGATTCACAAGAAGCGTTACGGACTGCATCTGTCTCTAGATGCCCTGCTTGCAGTGGGAAAATAAGGGTTACAATGTCTGTAGACACAGATGTCAAAGACTGAGTTGGAGTGAGGGTCTGGTGGAAAAATGTGACTAAGTCTCAACCAGAAGGTACTGACAGTTACTTAAAAAAAAGTTTCTGATTGGAATGCAGCTGCTGAAGACAAAGAAGGCATAACCAGAGAGCAATCTGGAAGCACTGCAAATGATCCTGATCTTCAGAGTTCCCATGACAAGAATACGATTTCTGATTTTGCATGAAATTTTGTGATCTACCTTTACTACTATGTAAGTTTGTTTTATATAAAAAGTTTGATACTTTTGTTTCCTGGGGTTGTTCCCTGTAACTGAACTAACTAGCTATGGTGAGTTAGAAATGAAGAGGACAAAAATGCAAAGGCCTGCAGGAAGGTCTGCAATACCAATTTTAAAGTCAAGCAAGTCCTGTGAGGGTTTTGTATTGACCTGGTCAGTGAATTTAAAAAAAATTCCCAACGAAAACAAAAAAAAACCCAACACCCTAAAATGTCCCACATATTGAATACTTGTCTGTATTGAACAGCCTGACAAAAAAATCTCACTTTCAAAGTAGGAGAAAAAATGTGAAAATCTCTAAGCCAGTTTTACTCCTGCTCTCTTCTCAGCAACGTGGCCAGTTTATGGAAGAGGCTGCTTCTGACTGTGAAAATAGACTCTGAGGTAGAAAGCTCACCTGCAGAAAGTTCTTTCTCTGTAGCAGTAGTATGGAATTTTCCTCAGATCAGGAGAAGTATTTTCCTGTAAAAATGCCCTGCATTCTAGCTCACGGAATCTGTTCTGATCACTGTATTGCCTTCTATACCTAAATGTGAAGTCTAATCTTACCTGACAGTTTCACTTAAGACTGAAGTCCATTACGAAATGGCCTGCTAACTATTATCAGGCCCTTGTATGACCCGAGTCTCAGCTAAGAAGCTACCTTCCTGTAAGCCTCCCATTCCAAACCTGCTCAGCCTGTGTTGGGAAATAAAGTAATACTGCCCATCGTTGGACTTGCACCAACTTCTGCTAGACAGTCTGAAGTTGGAAAATGATCTTTCTCATTTCCTGTTGGGAATGAAAGAATAAACAAAGGGAAATAAAAGTGTAAGTCAATAATTAATGAAGCTCAAGAAGTTTTAAAAAGAAAATAATTTAAAGTAGGTGGGGTTCTTTCTCTGGTTTCAGATAAAGATGACATAAAAGAAAGAATTCAAGCAAACAATACCAGAGTGATGTACAAGTTTAATTGAATTTATACTTGAGGATTGTGCCCAAATTTTGCAAAATACAATGGTGAGATGTTTAAGTAGTGTTAGCAGGCCAGGAATGTAATTAATGACCTCATTAATTCTGTTGTGAAAATGGGAAATATTGGACTGTGATATTCTTGGAAGAAATGAAAATATGATCATCTCCAGGCTCGCCTACTGAGGCCTGGAGTCACATGGTTGAAGTTAGTGTATGCTTCACAATAGATGTTTGTAAACTTCAGAACAAATCCTTGTTCCTTCTGTCAGCAAGTTTTTTTAATGCAATTTTAGTATTTTACACAACTCAAAGTAACTTGGAAAATGGCTATATGAAGATAAGACCGCAGTGTATTTTCTCTCTTCATACACAGTGTGGCTTTTAACGGGGTGAGCCAATTACTTTTTTTTATTTGCAAGAAAAAAATTAAACCAGTGGGCAGGCAAGACACAGGAAGAGGTTTAAAAAATTGTAATTTTCAGCTGTCCTGCTGCAGTAGGGGTTTCCACTTCCACAGCTGCGTGGAACGTTGACTCCGTTCCTTGTGTGATCTCTTTAGCAGGATTTACATACCCTTCTATTATTGGTTTGAGGTAAAATATTTTTTATGATGAATGCTTATTAACGTATAGATTAACAGTCCTGTTTTCATTTTGGCTTAAACAAAACTGTTTAACAATGAGTGATGATTAACAATTTTATTATTCTTCAATATAATACATGCAAAAGTTACTCTATCCAGTTAGGAGAAAGCAGTCTGAGTTTGCTTCTACTAGTCAACACTAAGGACACCAGCTGAGCTTGCTCTGAGCAGCTGTCGCTTCGATTGGTACATAACTCGCATGCCAAGCTCCAAGCATGGCCTTTCTGTTGTAAAGTGTGTTTTGACAGACAGTAGCCCTGAAGCTCAGATTCAATGGCAATGGTCCACACAGCAGAAATTAGGCACTAACAATTTCTCTGGGGATTATGATCCTTTTACCAGGATCTAAATACAACTGAGTGCATAAAAATCAGAATACAAGTATTATATGCACTCGTAAGATGGAAGATTGCAAGAAGAATGAATGGAAATCTACCTTGCAGTAGTAGTAATGTACTCTAAGTATTACTCTGTAATAGCACTGCTTGAGTGTTTGAAAACTGTTTGTTAAATAATGAATCAATTTTCCTCCTTTGTTGCATCGTATTTCTCCATGACTATGCTTTCTAAATGGTATTTTTAATATTCTACTCAGCTAAGACTATAAATACTTCTTCATCTGTGCATTTTTAGTTTCTTTCTGGGGCAACTCATCAGATTAAGTGCTGTGCTTTGAGATACGATCCTTGTTATTCCCATACTACACTGAGCAGTGATTTGCTGCGTTTGACACGCATCGTTCATCGTGAGGTTTGGCACCCATGCAAAAGCAGTGTCATACCAAAACCTGAGTGCGCTGCAACTGCAGCAAAGACAGGAAATGGTGTTCCTGACAGCACTGTATTTCAGCATAAGGTTGAAGCATGAGAAGATACAATTATGGGGCGAGATCTGCAATGCAGGAAAAAAAGGCTTCTTGGAGCATTTTCTTGAAGGGCAAATAGAGTCTTACTTTCGAATCAAAGAGGCTTGCATTTCATGCAAGTCTGGCAGTGCGTCACTGTCTGCAGTTACACATTGTGAAACATGAAGCTCGAGTTGGGTTTTCTTTTCTTGCACGCAGAGCACTCAGTATCCCTGCTACTCATGGGGCTCGAGGCAGGGGGCAGGTACACGTTTTAGTTTTGTTTTTTTTCCTGTGTGTAGTGGCACAAGAAGGGGTGCCACATCCATCCATCCCAAGGCCTCCGTACCGCCTAGGCCGGGTCAGAGCCAAGCTCTGCCTGCAGTGATGGCCGAAGGGGACATGGTGAAACTTCTCTACATGTGAGATGACCTCTTGAAATCAGTTGTATGACTACAGTGTTTAAAATCAGCAGTTATTTTCTACAGAGATTAAGAGTATTTGTGCATGCATGCTTGACTTGCTGACTGCTGACGTGCTTCTCCCTGTGAGAAGCAGCCCGTGGTGGTACTCTTCCCAGGTCACACTTCCAGCCCTCTGCGGGTCCAAAACTTCGCAGTGAAAGGTGGTTTTAAAATCTGTAGGTAGCAGCCGTGAGGGATGTTTCCTTCGAGGACTGGCCCCGGTGCCCTCCGAGGGCAGGGAAGCGCCCGGCACCCCCAGCCTCCGCTGCTTGGGGAGGAGGAACCCCGCCCGGCCTTGTGCCTCCGTGTGCTGCCCCGGGCTTCTG